TTTCTTATCATCGTCGGTTGTCCACCTGGTGATGTTCCTCGCCAGACGGTTGACCTGCCTGAGTAAGTCAAAACGTGCAATTCTAGCACCATACAATATTTTCATGAGCACACTTGCCGCATGAGGTGCGAGTTGTCTCCGGATGAGCTCCTTCCGAAGTCCCTCCTGCTTGGCATGATGGAGTTTCATAACCATTCGCGGGAACTCTGTTTCCAAAGTGGGGGAACGTTTGCCAAGACCGACCGATGCTGGAAGCCACGTTCCTGAAGTTTGTCAGGGAGAACATGACTTCTCACATGACGGGCCTCAACAGGAAGAGAAGCGGCGCAGTCAAGTACATGGAAGTTCCCAGCAGGACCGTCAGGGACATCATGGACAGACTGGAGTACTCGAACCCGTTCATCGACATCGAGGACGCCGGTTCATCAGGCCAAAACAAGAAAGCGGGCGAGTCCGATGAGGACGACGCTGATCGTGGTCGTGAACCCGATGATGCCGAGGAGCCCGAAGCCAAACAATCGAGAGTCGAGAACATCGCCTCAAGACGAGCAGAATTGTTGCGAATGTTTGAGGATCTTTGCGATCGAGCTGGCGAACTGCAGATTTGCATGAAGTGCGGGAAAGAAAACATTGCAAGAGCAATTGAGTCTGACTCGGCACGTGGCAAGATCACAATGCTGTTTCTTCCAGAAGGGCATCCCTCATCCGATGAAGACATCGAAATGCATGATGATGATGAAGAAATGGCTCCGATGTCCAGCGAACCTGACAAACCGCATCAACCGGAAGCGGAGGCGCCGATCTTCTATCCGAGGGAGGAGTTCCACAAGTACAACTACGTCGTGAACCTAGATGGCTGATTTGGCAGAAGGAGGAGAACTCCATGTTGGTCAACTTGACCTACGCACGAATTCGAACGGAACCATGAAGGAGTACAACCGCATGCTCGATTCGTTTGGTGGAGCAAAGCCCCTCTGTGATTCCTCAACCCGGTGATGGGGCAGTTTGCGAAGGTGTACAAGGGTATTCATGTATGACTAGCACGCTGCCAAAGGGATTGCACTTAGAAGTCATGAACACGCAGAACAGAGACACAAGTTTTCCCTATTGGCCGTACAACGAGTACACAGCGTTTGGATCTAACATTCACCACCAAGACTTGTTCCATACGTCGAAAGCACTGGTGAAGATCCTACGACATCAAATTGGCCAAAAGTGGGGGAACCCTATTCCTTGCAATGGTGGAGGATGTGTGAACATCGACCACATCCTGAGTCGCGAGAGCGCGTTCCCGCAGGATCGGTACACGAAGAGCGACAAATTTCAAATGGTCGCCGAGTGCATCAGATCGGAGGATCGGAAAGCACGAAAGCCGAGACTGCAGATCCTTGCTGCGAAGTTTGATCAGGAGATCGACATGGAGACGATGGCGGGTCTCATAGCTGCTGGATGGGCGGAGAACGACATTGACTGGATTCGTCGCGAGCATGGCGGATGGTGGCAACCATGGTGCATTCGCGCGTCATCAGGGCATTCGGATTTCGGATTCGCTCGTCCTGCTCAACCTTGCAACATCTTGTTCCCGAACATGTCCGATCGCTTGGGCGGAGCATTTCACGTGACAAAGCCATCAGCCCTGGAAGGTATCATTTTGAGAGGTATCGTTCCTGGCGGCAACGACAGTGCGCGAAGGCTGGCAGTACACTTCGGAGTATTTGCACCTTGGGACAGCAAAAACATCTCGACCAAGACTGCAACGCACGACGTCAAAAAGGGAGATGACCTCATCGCCATCTACGTGCAATCAAAGAGGGAGAGACCATTCCCTTCAAAGAGATAAGGGCAATCTGGAGCTTCAAGTCCACGAAGAAAGGGCCTGTGAAAGAGGTTAGGCGGTTCTACTCCCGCGCCGTTGAGAGCGAGATCTGTCCAGGATTTAAGGACGCTGTGGGCGTGACCCCGGCGGACTTTCTTGGAAACCTCAACAGTTTCCTGGACGATGAAGACTCAGCGGACGCCGACATCCTGAAGAAGATGGTCGTCGATGCTTGCGTCAACATCGGAGTGCCCGAAGCCTTGGGCAAATCGTTGGTAGAGATCAGGGATTTGCTCAGCAGATTCATCGTCTACCGCGAGGACGACCCATCAAGCATCCAACAGAGTATGCCCAGCGTGCGCTATCATTATTCAAATGGGATTTTGCTACTGCACGGCATGCGAGTGTGACTTCATTTCCACCGGCAAGTTCGTGATCCATGTGGATGACGACGAGCCAAAACCATCCGACACCACCAATGTGACGGAGGAAGTGAAACAAGCTCAGCGAGAAGCAAAGGAAGATGCTGAGCGATTCGTCGCCGAGGAAGACCGACCCGACACCCAGGAGATGAGTGAGGAACGGTCTGCAGGCAGATCGTACATCCCGTCGGATATCGGGACGGACATCGACGATGAAGACCCGGGAGTTTGTCCGGACAACCCAGAGGAGGATGCGGACGCAACTCATCTCCTGCAAGTCAAGGCCATCTGCGTTGACGAAGCCGGTAAGGCATCATACCTCTCTGAATTCATTGGCGTCGTACTTTTCAAAGTATGGAAGGTGTTCGCCAACAACGAGGCAGATGTGGTCAAGGAGCCTGGCAAAGAAGGCGGACAATACTGTCCCTACATCTCGATCAACGGGAGGGACGATGGGATTTTCAAAGATGTTGATGAACAGAATATTCCAATCCCGCCAACCTATGAAGAGGTCACTGCCGCTCCTAAGTTCAAGAATGTGAGGTTCAAAAGCGCAAACCACAGGGACGAAGAAATGTTCTTTTGGTTCCTGAAGCTGAGAGGGCTATACATCATGTACCGGATTTGGACCGCCTGCAATATACTTGGTATTAAAGCAGAGCAGTTCAGAGGTGTCAGCCATCAGAAGAACATTGCCTTCGTCAGCGACACAATACTCCGTTGCATCGCCCTCGACCTCAACTGCGATTGCATGACCTTCTACCGAACAGATGTGAACATTGGACGCAAGTTCTTGAAACTTGAGCTTGGCGCCATCTTTTGCGTCGACACTCCTCTTCTCCAATGGTGCTATTCGAATCACGCAATATACATCTGCCCTCGCGCTTTATCGAGAAGATCAATCGGACCGAGGAGACACTAGATTCTCTGTTAGAAAGGTTCCGGTGGAGGGCGAGTAGAAAGGCCATCGCAGAAGCATCACACCGGTGATCAAGCATTTTCTTTACGATTTCTTCTACGTGGGGGACCAACTGCAAATTGCAGTTATATACAAAGCGGGATCGTGATACTCATCGTGAATGATATCATGGCCAGCCGTGGTGGTACTCGTCGTGCAGGGCAAGCCAAAAGTATTTGCATGAGACTTGCACTTATCACCACAAAATGTTTTCTTGTTTCCGTACAGTATCGTCATCGGCGACTACTATTCTGGAGATGCGCGTGTGAAGCAGTTGACGCAAATCAGCAACAGTACAGTCTACAAGAGGTCTTGTGAATTTCCCGTACGGGGTGCGTCACTGAGGGTCGCCGGACAGCTGCCCGGGCGCGACACAGATGGACTGTCTACTACGGCGCCCTTCCTGGAGCAGGATTTGCCTTCGAGCGACGACGATAGCTGGATCTTCGACCAGCGATGATAGCTTGATCTTTCGACCGCGCTTCAAAGCAAGCTGCGCCTGACACATTGCACGCATCAGCTGTGAAAAACGCTCATCATTCGGATAGAGATTGGGAAGGTAATGGGCGCTTCTTCTATTGAGATCGCTTGCGAAAGATGTAGCCTCAGGGCAAGGGTTCAAGTTCCTTGTAGATACAAAAGTCTTGGAAACCAGCATGGCGGTCCGGTCCACAGGGGCGGGATGTGGCGTCAGAATGCTGCGTCAGCGGGGAATGCGGCGTCAGCCAGGAATGTGGCGTCAGGGAATGTGGCGTCGGAATGCGGCGTCAGCCGGGAATGCGGCGTCAGGGAGGAATGTGGCGTCAGGGAATGTGGCGTCGGAATGCGGCGTCAGCCAAGAATGCGGCGTCAGGGAGGAATGTGGCGTCAGCGGAATGCGGCGTCACCCAGGAATGCGGCGTCAGGGGTGAATGTGGCGTCGGGGAAGGCGGAGTCACAACGCGGCGTCAGCCGAAAATCTTGCGCCAGAGAATGTGGCGTCGGAATGCGGCGTCAGCCGGGAATGCGGCGTCAGGGAGGAATGTGGCGTCAGGGAATGTGGCGTCAGAGTGCGGCGTCAGCCGGGAATGCGGCTTCAGGGGAAAATGTGGCGTCAGGGAATGCGGCGTCACAGGTGTTTGGAATGCAGCGTCAGAATGCGAATTCAGCGTCAGGTGGAAAAGCACTGTCCCTTTTGCGGCCGCCCTGAACTATTCAATGAAACGATCATAGCCCAGGAAGCGTAAACTCGGAAACCTGGTCGCACCCTGTTGTCCTCAATGGGGATTCGCGAAATACCCATCTAACTGGTTCTCAGTAGAAAGTCAAGGAGTGTTTTGGGAGTCAACTGTTTGGGACGCCTTCTCTGGAAGCAAAAAGGGATAGTTCCTGGGCTGGATCAACGTTTGGTGACACCTTACAAGTGTGCCCTTGAGTAAACATATCATTGCAGAACATCTCAAAAAAAACAGAACGAGTTTGGGGTTGAACATTGACCAACCGGGGTTCTTTCCTAATTCCCACCCACAGACAAACTACTTGCTCAAGCAACTCCTGCCACTCAAATCTGTTTAGACATGTTGGGTATGTTGAGCTCGCATTGTGTTCTTCAAAAAAAGCAAAAAGCAAGTTGGGTATGTTGAGCTTGCATTCAAATAGAGACTTCTTATGAGTCTCTTGATACCCCACCCCGGAGCCCCCCTCTCCCCTGGGGTACACTTAGGATACATTTTACATTTTACCAGTGACTCAAAGTGAAGCAAACAATAAAATATGTATTCTACTGGGCCTGACTCTAATCATGTCTCAGACTCTCCCCAGCGAGGCCAAGAGCAAGGCCCGGGAGTCGCCCCTGGCGGCCGCGGCGCGCCGGGCCCGCGACGCCCAGAGCGCCCTGGGCGCCAGGGCGGCGCGCGCCTCGCGCCGGGGCCTCGGAAAAGGGCCTAAGGCGGGGGACGCCTTGTGGACGGTTAAAAACGGGAAACCAAATGGAAGCCTTCTATGTTGGCCTGGAAGTTAAATTTGGGCAACTTGCTGAACTGTGCGTTTTTTTTTGGGGGGGGTCAAATCTTAAACAGAGACACCCAAACCACCATTCTCGGATAACTTGGGGGTGGCGCAAAATCGGGGACACTGCCTCACCCAGTTGCCCAGTGGTGCCTGCCCAGTGGTTACACAAGGGGGAAGCATGGAAACCACCTGGATGGGGTCCCCAATTTTGATTGAAACACCCACCTTTGCTCTATGGCCTCCCAGCCATCCGGTTCCGTGGATGTTTAGTTGGTTTTAGTTGTTTTTAGTTGGTTTTAGTTGGTTTTAGTTGGTTTTAGCTGGTTTTAGTTGGTTTTAGTTGGTTTTAGTTGGTTTAGTGGACATTGGTTTCCATTTGACCCATCTGGGAACAGCCCAGTCCTCTGTTGGTTTTAAGGGGAATCTATGACTGCTGGATGCTGTTGTTTTATTTTTCCCGGGGACTTCAGCAAATGGACGACTGAGTTGTAAGCATAGGTGTCCTCCTTGGTTGTTTTGGTAGAACATATACTGCGATGGTTTCGCGACAGCACACGTATGGCTGTAAGATGTTGCTTTTTGCTTTAAGTTAAGTGTTTTAGTTTTATGTGTGTGTTGCTTGTGTGTTTTGTGTTGGTTTGTGAATTTTGATTCCTGCTTGATTTGTTTTGATGCTTTCATGTGTTGTGTCATTTGTTGTTGGCTTTGCACCGTGTTGTGTGGTTTCCTTTTTTGTTTGACCTGTTTTCATTTTCGTACTTTCTTCCCCTTGCCAGCTTGGAAGGGACCTGGCGGGACTCACGTTTTTGTTCTGCAAGAATATGGTTTCACCTTGCCAAAAGCTTGGATGTCCGGCAACCTTCGGAGGTGGCTTGCTACTTACAACTCACTAGAACGAAAGGATCAATTCCACTTAGGGGGACTGACAAGTGACTGTAACCTGGGTCACCAAACACTTACTAACTTTGCCGGACGCCCCAGTGCATATCTCAGAGCGTTGCAGGAAGTCCTACATGAAGTTTGCCAAATGCCCACCAAATACCCAAGTTGTTGCGCACTAAGTATGTTCGAACATTTGTCCCGCTCCCGGCTATCGGAAAGGTCCACAGGAGGGTTTGCGAAGATCCCTTTGAAACGGCTCCTCCACTGCCATGAGTGTAGGAAAAAAGGGGGGGGAAACCTCTCGAACAAATGGGCACCCATATTTTTGTAGAGTTGAAGCCGGCTGTTCTGAACTTGGGTCTGAATTTTCAGTAGGGACCCTTTGGTGGACATCAGTTAGGTGGAGGTCCATGTCCACCAACTACATTGGAGGGGGTTCCGGCTCTTAAATCCCAGGGTTGTGAGACACCTCGGGGCTTCTCCCCACTTCGGTGATACTTTCGGGAGTCTCCCCCTTATGGGGGGCTAGTCTTTGGGGCTTGCCCTTCTTGTTGTACAGATTCGTGGATTCCGTTTCCCACAGCCCTGATGAAAACTCCACTTGAAGAGCTTGAGCTCTGAAAAGGTGCCTTCCGGTTTGCTGAGGTCAGAGCCGGGACGCCAGCGTGGGGAAGGAGGCGAAGGAGAGGAAGGAGGGCGAGCGGCAGTTTGCGGCGCGGCCGCGGCACGGCTGAAGTTGGGGTTCGGAAGATTTGGAAGTTTGGTTGTTGATAAGGTTAGAAGCTTTGAAAGGCTTGGGAAGGTTTGGGAAGGTGTGGCAGGTTGGGGGTTGAAATACAAGAGTGCCTTTGCTTGCTTCAGCGCTCTCCGCACGAGTTTGTTTGTTTCTCGTAGTGTTCACCCCCGATGGGGGCGATTCCCCGCCCAAAAAAAGAGACCAAACAAAACTTCACTGTTCTTGGCATGTTTTTTGGTTTTGTAGTTTTTGGTTCTGTTCATTTTTACTGGGGGTCTGCAAAAAGCAAAGTTTTTCGCTACCATACCAAGAGTAGAGATGAAAAAGAAGAAACATTTGCCCTGAAATGGGACAAACCCCCTCCTGTAGTCCACCGGGCTTCACTTATCCTGGGTTATACGTTGGATGTAGAAACCCTGGCATTGGTGGTTCATATATTTTATTCATGGGTTATCATCCAACTGGTGCCGAACGGCCCAAAAGAAGAAGAAGAAGACAAAATATGAAGAAAATGAATAAGAAACAAGAAGAAGGAGAAGAAGAATAAGAAGAGGAAGAAGAAGAAAGAAGAAGAATAAAAATAAGAATACTAATAATAATAATAAGAATAATAATAATAAGAAGAAGAAGAATAAAAAACAAGAAGAGGAATAATAATAATAATAAACAACAAAAGAAGCAGAAGAATAGGAAGAAGAAGAAGCTACCCATTTTTTTCGGGTACTCTGGCAGGGAGGGGGTTGCCAGGTTTGGAGCCACCAAATAGAACCTCCCTTCGCTCAGGCTTATCGAGAAGGCCAAGGACAAGGCCTCGAGCCCTTTCCGGCGGCCGCCGGGGAGCCACTCCGCCATCTCTCTGAATTTGAAGAAGAAGCAGGCGGCGCGGCGGCGCGGTGCGCCGGGCGTTTTGTCTTCTTTTTCGCTGGGTGCGCCGGCGAAAGGGTGCCCGAAAAGCCTCTCACCAGCTTTTTTGGGTTGGGAGATTCGGTTCCCCTACTAAAATAGGCGACAGATAAGAAGTTGGTACCCTTATTCTGACTTCTCTACTGGAGGACCTAAGTTTTTCGATGACAGGTTTGGGGTTGATACATCTCAAGTGACATCCAATCCGTCGGTGCTGCATGACAGCAGTGACAGATCCTACTTCGACAGCTGGGAATTTGGCCCGAGCTTCATGTCGCTGGCCCTGGCGGACAGCCAGGACAGCCATGACAGTCCGAAGCCTGAGGCTCCCGCCAGTGGCCGGACCAGGACAGCTGTGACAGGCAGAAGCCTGCAGTGGCCGGGCCCAGACAGCTGTGAAGCAGTGCGCGCCATGTTTTTGGCTAGAGCGCTTTTGGACACAGACAATGCGCTAGCTGAGAATTACGCCGGGTCAAGCTTGCTGCCCTATTCATTGCGAACTTTCGCAGGCACTGTGCTTACCGTCCCGCTTCAACTAGGAAGCAGGGTGTTTGCGCCTTGCTGTTAGGCTGTGCCCTGGACAGTGTTGTTTGAAGTGAAGTAGATTTTCCGTTTGTCCGGAACGCAGAACAGGGCCCCCCAAAAGAACCGGCGTGCGAATTGTTTCGCCCTTTTAGCCTTCCTTCACGTTCCTTTTCTTTGAAACTTTGATAGTAGCCAACTCTAAAACCGCGTTTGCCGACCTTTCGGGTTTCCTTTGCTTGGCGCGTCCCCTTTAGTTGTTTGGTTTTCAGTTTGCTGAGTGGCAGTTTCCATTTCGCCCCCCACTGAAAGTTACTTCGCCTCTTGTAGGGATCAGCAAACGGACGGCCGGTCACACCCCCGCCAGTTGCCGTGCAGGAGGCGAAGAAGCCGGAGGAGGCGACGAGCCCCGACACCTCCGCGGGCTCCACCCCCGCAGGGCTGATTTCGGAGGACGGGCGGGGGGGGAGGTTGCCGGCTGGCGGCATCATGGAGAAAACCCCCTGTTGAGCGCTTAGTGGGGCTTTTGATGGGTGGGTCTTGTTTGTAAGGTTGTGCCCCAAAACTGTTGTTTTTTCGTGGTTTCCCTTTCAAACCAACCAACGCCAAATTCCCTCAAAAGAAGGAACCGCACCCATATCTGCCCTGGCTGGAGGTTTTGCATGGTTTTGCGACGCTGTTTTGCCTTTTTGGAGACCAAAACGCCATAGGTTCGGACAAGCCAAACTCCTTCGTAGATCATCACCCTCTCCAGGGCTTGGTGAAGCGAATCCACGGTTCGATTCTGTTCCTGTGGACCCGCCCTACATGGGTAGTAAGTACGTAAGTACTACACAACTCTTTGAGCAAAACACCAGGGAGCTTCGGGTGGCACTCATGGAAAGCGTGAGTTTCAGCACTCAAGGCAGGCTCCCATGGAGAGGTTGGGAATTTGTGCACCTCCTTTGAGAGTCTATATTGTGATGGTTTAATTGTTTGAGAATTGATAACATGTCCTTTGCTGCTCTACATTTCTTGTGGGCTTTCGACAGACTGTAGTGTGGGCTTTCGATACATCATAGTGTTCTACAGGAAGTTTTACAGGACGTTCTACAGGAAGTCCTTGCCTCGGGCCAGCCCATTCTTTTGAACCCAAAGTAGCGCCCTTTAGAGGTTTGGAAGTTTCAAGAACCAGGGGTTCGAATCCGCCAGCCAACACGAAGGGCCAGAGGTGAACAGGGTTCCCTTTTTGTTCCTCCAAAAATTTGCAGTTTCAGTGGAAGCCGCCAGTACATAGCAACTCTTGAAGGGAGCCCAGCAAAGCATGCGTTGGGCTGCGTGCCAAGCAAA